GAGAGAGAGAGCTAATATTTAGTGTAGACTTACTTTGCTATACTCCATTCTAAGTGTACCATCTCACTTAGTCCTCACAACAGTGCTAGGAATTAGGTACTATTATAATTGAGGACACTAAAACAGACTGTTTAGATGACTTGCCTAAAAAACAGCTAGTAAGTGGCAGATCCCAGATGCCAATCGATTGTGTCTCTAGAGCCCATTCTTTTAACTACTACCCTCTAATAGAGATCTTGAACTGGAAGCCTTTCTTTGCCGATCCAGGGGCCAAACCATAAGATGGGGAGCTGGAAAGGGCTAGCTAGCAGAGCTAACTAAAGGGCTAGTTTAATTAGAGTAAACTATTTACTGTATTTTTTTTAAAGATTTTATTTTTAAGTAATCTCCACCCAATGTGGGGCTCGAACCAACAACCCTGAGATCAAGAGTCACATCTGCCACTGACTAAGCCAGCCAGCCACCCCTGTGTTTATTGTTAACATTATTAATATTACAAATGGTTAATACAGCTTTGTGAAGACTACTGATTTCCTGGCACTGGGCTAATTTGTTTTGTCTGTATTCTTTAATCCCACAACTACTATGTAAAATATTGTCTATTGTGTTAATGAAAACATGAGGCTTATGGAGTTGCTTTCTTCCCCTTCACATCAAAGGAGTACTACTTTTCCCATCCACTTCTCAACCTACAACTATCTTCTGATCCAAGCTCTCCACTGAAACTCCTCTTAGTGAGATTACAATGGCCTTCCTGGTGCTAAATCCAGGGGACATTTTTCTTTTTTTTTTTTTTTTTTAATTTTTTTTTTAACGTTCATTTATTTTTGAGACAGAGACAGAGCATGAACAGGGGAGGGGCAGAGAGAGAGGGAGACACAGAATCTGAAAGAGGCTCCAGGCTCTGAGCTGTCAGCACAGAGCCCGATGCGGGGCTCGAACTCACGGACCGTGAGATCATGACCTGAGCCGAAGTCGGACGCTTAACCGACCAAGCCAGCCAGGCGCCCCCAGGGGACATTTTTCAACGATCAATTCAGTGACGCTTCTGCACTCCCCCTTGATTTCTCCATCCTTCATCATTTCCAGGACCATAGTTTGTTCCAGGGCTATTTCTGTGACCTATTTTTTCTCCCTGTTTCTTTTTTCTTGTGCTGGTTCTTGTATGTGAGTCTACTCCAGGAGCACATCCACATGTCTCCTTAATCTACATACTCTCCTTGAATGTTCTCACCCACTTCTGGTCTCAGCTACCACTGGAATGCTGAAGGTAGGGGAAATGGCGCCATACCCTTGACACCGCCATAGACTTGAGACAAAGATCATTAACATACTTAGACTGCAGCTGCCCCATAAGCATCTCAAGTTGCAGTGTATCAAGCTTAACACATGCAACCTTTTACTGTACCACCCTCAACCCTGCCTGGCTTTAAACCACCTCTCCCTCCTCCTTTCCATTATTTCAATTGAGGTGCTGTCATCCACCCAGTTACTCAAACCTAGAACTTGAAAGTCATGTTCTCCCTCTCCACCCTCCTAATCCATTCTAAATCTAAGAGCTGTCAGTTCTACCTCCTTCATCTTTTGAATTTAGTCACTTCTGTCTACAGACCTAGGAAAACCTAATGGAAGCCAACAACACCTCTCATCTCACTGACCAACATAGTTTACTCCTTGTCCTCTTGCCTCCAGTTTGGCCCCTTCTATTGTTTGTTTTCTCCACTCCAGTCATAAACTTTTTAAAGCTCAAATGCAGAAAATAACATGGTCAGATTTGAGCTTTTAATCCCTCCTTTGACCTTCATTGCTCTCAGAATGAACTCTAACCTTTCAACAAGGCATTCAAAGCTGTCTGGAATCCTGGTTCTGTCTGCCTTTGAGCCCCATTACCCAGCCTTGCTGCTCTCTATTTGAATGAAACTTCTTGTAGTTCCCTAAGTACACCATGCCTCACTAATTTTTTTCAGCATTTATTACTCGGCTTAAAAGTCACTTCCTTCAGGATGACTTCTCTAGTCCCCCAGGCTAGGTTAGATATTTTACCTTAATGCTCCTATATATCTGTCACTTCATCTTCAATATTGATTTATTGTTTGTTCCATACGTATCTTCCTCACTAGTTTGTAAGTTTTTGGTTTAGGGCAGGAACTATTGAATTCCCAGATCTAGTATACAGTAGGCCCTTAGTGAATGTTTGTTGAAAGAATAAGTGATTAACTTTCTTAAGGTTATATTGCAAATAAGTTCTGAAACTGGAAACAAAATCTGCGGCACTCTAAAACCCATGTTCTCCCACTAATGTATACATCACACAGTATAAAAAGATACAGCACCCAGAAGAATTGAAAGCAGGGTCTCAAAGAGATGTTTCTATACCCATATTCATAACAGCGTATTCAATAGCTAAAAGGTGGAAGCACTCAAATGTCCACTGATGGGTGAATGAATACATAAGCAAACTGTGGTATATACATACAATGGAATATGATTTAGCCTTAAAAAAAGAAGGAAATTCTGCAATATGCTACAATATGGGTGAACCTAGATGACAGACATTATGCTAAGTGAAGTAAGTCAGTTACAGAAAGACAAGTCATTGCATGATTCTGTTTATATGAGATACTTAGTGTAGTCAAAATCATAAAGGCAGAAAGTATAGTGGTGGTGGCCAGGGGCTAAGGGGAAGGAAGATACAGAGTTTCAGTTTTACAAGATGAAAAGATTTATGGGGACAAATGGTGGTGATGGTTGCACAATTTGAATTAATATCACTGAACTGTACATTTAAAAATGATCAAGAAGGTAAATTTTATGTTATGTGTATTTTACCACAATAAAAAATTTCCAAGGAAAGCCCCCAAACACACAAAATATATTGCAAGGAGTCAGTCCCATTTTTCTCCTACATCTTCCCGATTCCCTATCTCTCTGCCTCAAGGTAACCAATCTTATTAGTTTCTGTATCTCCTTCCAGGTTTTCTTCTTGCCAATAGAAGCAAATATAAAGCTATATTCTTTACCTTCTGACCTTTTAAAAATTTTATATTAGAAAAAATTTTAACTACTTTTTCTGAAGTATGTAGCACAAGGAGCTAATAAGTACTCAGCTTGAATGAACTCACAAGATGGAGACTTGGAAGAGGATAGCTATTTGATGAGAGGGTAAAATAATCTTGCTGGCTCACCACCAGTGGGGCCTCTATGGAAGCTCCTCAGAGTTATCTTTTCTCTGGAGCTCTCCTAGACCACTCCCTCTGATGCAATATATGGGTTTGGACAGAAAGGAGGGTGCTGTACAGCCCGCCCCTTCTGAGCTGTCTGGGCTGGCTCCTCCTAGAACAATTCAGGCTTCACAGCAATTCAGACCTCAGCTCCAACATCTACATTCTGAAGCAAGGATGGCTGAGATGGACAGAATGCTTCATTCTGGAAAGAAACAGTGTTCCAGGTCGAGCTGAGTTGGCCAAATACAGACCCCCTCTACGGTTCTAGAAGAAATTTTGGCAAGTCTTATCATGTGGTTTTTCTACACCTTGATTCCATGTTTGCTCATTGGTAAGTACGAATTAGAATATAGCCAATAGCTTGGGATTCAAATATAGGTTAAGAAGGTGAAAAATAACTTCAGCAGAATTTGGAGTTGTAACATATGTGTAGAACATCTTATGTCTGTTTCTATAAAAAGGTTTCTCACTTCCTAAACCTTCATCCCCATATCACAAAGCAAAAGCCAGCATTCTAGTTGGAAATCTCTTTCCGAATGGTCACAGAACAATCTAGAAAAATAAAATGTCAGAACAAATAGTTTAAAGGTTAGCAGAGCTCCATGCATTTTATTATTTATCTCATCTGGTTTTAAAAGGCACAACATGGTCATCTCAGTCTTTGTGTGCTTTGGAGATGTTATCTGTAAGGACAGGTTAAAGTAAGATAAAGATTCTAACAAAATACATATGAATAAAAAGGCTTACTTTGCAACCTTGATATTGGGTATAAGACTTACAAAAATTGGACTTCTTTCCTGATCACTGCAGAAAGAGTAGCAGTTGGATATTCCATAGCATTTTAAAAAATTTGGTTTGGGGCATTTTCCCTACCAGTCAGTTTTACATAATTTTCTCTGCTCCACCCCTGGCTGCTTGTACCTACATGCTTTATTGTTCCAAAATTGAAGCTCTTTAGTCTTTGATGTTTCTTCATGTCAAAACACCTTTAAGAGAAATTTCTAATTTTAATGCTCCAAGGTACTGGGCACTTTGCAGTGTTGGTAGGAGTCTTGAGTACTTCCTGTCTTGTCTTTTTTTTTTTTTTTTTTTAACTGAGAACTAATTGTTTTAGTTTCAATTCGGCAACAACTTACTGCTAAAGTGATTTGCAAATGTTTAGAATCGGCTTTAACATCAGATTTATGGTGTCCCAGTTGCTCAACACATGGTGTTCGAATCTGCTGTTTATTTCGTGACCCAGCATATTCAGGCCTCAAGTCTATTTCTCACTATTCCTCGACAACAAATACAAACTACAGGCAGCTGCTGTCTTCACACTGACATGTAACACCCTCATTTCCTCCTCCTGGCTTTTCTGATGCTTCCCACCAGAAACACCATCTCCGGCCCAACCTCCTATCATATTTCTGGATGGGTCACTCTTCTTTCAGACTCTTGCTGGACTGCTGTCCCCTTTGACCCTTGACCCCACATACTCTACTCGAGTGGGCTACTTCTGTTAATTGCACTGACCTGAGGGAAGGGCCTGGGCATCTTTTCTGGTGTCCTCGAAGCTCCTAGCATAGGCTAAACATGTTGGTTAATTGGTCGGTTAGCTGATTGATCAGTTGGTGGAACATGTTGCCAGAAAAACACTCCCTGCACTAAGCCAGAGGGAGAAGATGGGAAGGCCGAATGAGAAGGGGAAAGCTCAGCATTTTTCCCCCCAGGTTCTTTTCCCTTTATTGAGGTATCTTGACAGATAACATTATATTACTTTCAGGTATACAACATAATGATTTGGTACTTGTACATATTGCAGAATGATCGCCATAATAAATCTAGTTAACATCCATCACCATACATAGTTATGTAACTGAACCCATGTGAGTTCGCTTCTTGAGGAGTCAGAAACTGCACCGGCTTCATTTGTTGCACAAAGAAAACTTGTATTTGCAGCAGATAAGGAGATCATGGGGGAATGGCTTCAAAAGCAGTAACTCCCAAGGGTGAATGGGTTCCTTTTATTTAGGGTTAGGATTAATATTCAGATAAGGAGGCCTTGTCATGGTATATAGAGGTGGGCATAAGGTCACACATGCACCTTAAGGCAACATGCCTATACATACAGTGTATGTTAGGTAAATGGACCGTGTGCTCCTCCTTGGGTGGAGATTTTATTATTATAATGAGGTAAAGGTAATTGCTGGTCTTTCCAGAGGTCACTCTGTGGTTTATCTGCACAAGCACAAGTCAGGGGTTTAGCACAGTCTATTCACCATCCTCCTCCTCCTCCTCCTCCTCCTCGTCCTCATCGTCCTCCTC